TATGGTGACCCTCGGGTCCCCATCTCTAAGATGACGCCTGCTGGCACACCACGGGGCTTCTTCCCAGTGTTTGCTCTGTGGACCCTGTGCCCGGGTGCAGGTGTGTTAGGCCTTGGGTGCAGGCCGAGCTGGCTCCTTGATAACCTGCCACATGCCGCCCTGGGCAGAGGAGAGGGGGCAGACTCCGCTGTCTGCCGTGAGGGGCCCAGGGCCCAGCGACGGGCTGTAACCCTGGCAGATGAGGACCATGATGTCTTCCTCTGGCTATTCCCAGAGGTTAGGCTGGTCCCTGGCACATAGTAGGTGCTTCATCAATATTAGGTGAATATGTTCACAAATGAACTCTGGGGAGAGTTACTCTTTTCAGACCTGAAATGAAAGTGCTGAAGTGTATGCCATAGATGATTGAGTGTGAGGCTCCTCGACCCTAGCATAAGGCTTTAATGATAATAATGATAATGATAGTGATAATAATAATAATAATAATAATAAATACCTGTGATTTATTAAATGATTACTGTGTGCCGGGCCCGGTGCCGGGGGCTTTCAGTAGGCAATCTGATGTAATCCTCAGAATGTCTTGGTTGTAATACAGACACTGAGACCAGCGTCCCAGCTCAAGTGGCACCGGCGTGTGTGTATGTGTGTGTGCACGCGTGTGCACGTGTGCATTAAGCTGGTGGTGCCCTGCCCTGCATATCTCACAAGGTTGCTGGAAGGACAAATGCAAGTCAGGGAATAAAAGGGCTTTGTGCTCTGTAACGGTCGGTACCAATTTTGGTTATTTGATCCCGAATTTAACCGGCAGACCCTCTGCCTACCCCACTGCCTCTCACTGAACCCCAAGTCCGTGGCTTCTGCTCGGCCGCCTCTGAGACCCACCATCCCCAGATGTTCTCCATCTTTTCTCCTACTGATCTCTCTCCGCCTCAGTTACTGGGTTTCAGAGCCCTGGTCACGTTTCCCTGGATTTTGCTGTCCCAAAGGAAAGAAAACTTCTCCTGCTGCTAACCCCGCTTTCGGCGTTGTTTCCCTTTTCGTTCTCTCCTGCCGCTTCTGTGTCCTGGGCCTGCACTGTCTTTGCCTTTGGCAGCGGTGCCTGCAGCTGCCCGCTGCGGCCTTGCAGGATGGGGGACCCGAATCTGGGAGGGATGGGGAGGTGGTTGTCCCCAGGCTGTCTCTGGCCGGCCTCTTAGCTACTGGCCGTGGGCTTCTGGGAATGAAGATCTTTCTCGTTCCTGAATTAAGTAAGATAAGCCTGGCAATGGCATTGGTCCACCTGTCTTTGACCTAGCAGGCCTCAAAGGTCTTACTTAGAGGAAGTCTGTAGCCTGGGACCAGCACCCTGCCCCGCTCCTGTGCCCCAGGAGTCCCTTGTGGGTTGGCTGTAACTGCCGGGGTCCTGTACCTGTCACAGACTCCTGCTCCACCTCCCCTGTTCCTCGGAGCAGGGATGGTGCGGCAGGCTCAGGCTATCTGAACGAGGAACCTGGGTACTAACCACCACACACACACACACACCGCCGTCTTTGGGCCCCAGCACCCCTCCCTGTGCTTGGCACGTAGTAGGCACCCCGTCACGGTGTGTTGTTGGAGGAACGAGACATGGTGATGCTTATGAAGTGATTGCTGGGTGCCAGAGGCTGGGCCGGGCGCCAGGGCCCACCTCCCACAGCTCCGACGGTGGGCTCACAGGTGACTTGAGCCCCGTCTGACAGGGAGATCCAGAGCCCGAGAAGTGAACGCCCTCTCCCCTCGCCCCGGACCACCCAGCCGGAGACCAGCTCTGAGGTCCTGGCTGCACAGAGTGGCAGGATTTTGCAGGGCGGGGGGTTGAGGGGGGCTCTTGGCTGGTGAGGAGGGGCTGACATTTGGCCTGGCTGTCACTCCTAGCAGGCAGGGTTTAGGGGGTGGCCACCTCATCCAGACCCAGCCTCCGGTTGTCATTTAGAAATGACGGTTGATGGGCGCTGTGGTGGTGGCTGAGGCTGATTGCAGGGCCTGGGAGCTAAGGCAGCCGCTGTGGTCCTTGTCCCCTCCAACCACTCGGTGGCAGCTGCCATTGGATTACGCGGGGCCTTCAGGGGCTGTGCGCTCCCCAGGGAAGGGGTCACATCAGAGGTCGGGCAGGGCACCCAGGCAGCTAGGGGCGCAGCACCGCCTCCCTCTGTCATTAATGAGAGGGGGACCTGGACGACCACTGCCCGGCCTGATCGGTCATGATCAGTCGCAGTGGAGATGGCCCTCAAAGACCTGGGTGGGCAGCAGCAGCGCGGACAGCCCAGCTCGTCGCGGGAGGAGACCGTCTTGCCCACGGGCTTCGTGGAGAAATCACGCCCCTGGCTTGACTATCCCAGCGTTGCGGGCCTCCCTGCAGCCGTGCGGGGAGTCTGGGGCTGGCCTGCCTTTGCCCCTGACGTGGGAGCCGTACCCCTTGGAGATCAGGAGGAGCCTGGGAATCAGACAATTCAATAAACTCACAATCAAACATCCGCAGCCTTTCATACTTTTTCACTTTCTTTAACTCAATTTATTTTTCATTTTGTGGACAGAGATTTAGTCCGGGTATTAGTTTATGATTTTTTGCTGAAGGAATTACTCAACACACACACATATAAAAAGGAAATATTATTTTTATCATTTATTTTGTGCCATGTATACCATAGGAGAAAAAAATGGAGTGAAATCACTTCAGTACCGCTGTGTTTTTCATTACAAAGTTATTACATATAGAAATTACTCCAAATTATCTGAAATGAATGGAAATTATGAGGTTTAAATTCCCCAGGTTACTGCAGGCACAGCTCTGGAAATTTATTTTGTCATCTTGCTGAACATAATTGCTACAACAAAATTTCTTCCATTTTACAACTGCAGCATAACTTATTTATACCGGTATAGCTGTAATTTTACATCAATAAGTTGCATGGGAAGGAATACACAGGTGGTAATTGAAAACAATAATTTGTACTGAGGTCCAGGTGGAATGGTTGGCTGAGGAAAAGACTCCAGTTACCGTCGGCAACAGCTTTGTGTCACTGTGCTCTCTTCCCATCCGGTTCGCCAACATCCTGCAAGCCATCCAAACACCCTCCATCACATCCCTGCGGTTGCCAGGGCGAGAGCCAGGGTGGACCGACTTCCCACCACGGCCCAGGCGTCCTGGTCCGGAAACTGAGGTCGTGGGCCAGGGGTGGGGGGGCGAGGGAGGCCCTGGCATCTCTGTGCAGCCCCTGCCCGTCCCCTCTCATGCCTTGCAACCTGCCTCTGGGTTGGGCACGCTTAGGTACCCAGAGCTAATTAAGGTGTTTGATAGATTTCAATCGGAGTATGAGTTTTTTGCCAGAAACATCAACAATTCGATTCCCCAAACACAGCGCGGAGTGTTCAATCCACTAATGCTTTATACATTACTGTGTTCCTTCCCAGCCGGAATGTGTGGTCTGGGTACAATACCGAACCGGTCCCCAAACGGGCGTCCTCACTCTTCAGTTCTCTAATTGTTCCTGTTAAGCAGATACAAATAATAAAACTGCAGATGCCTGTACGAAGTCCCCGCAGCCGATGCATCTGCCCATTTGAATCCGGGGATCCAAATTCAGATGTAAGGAAATGGGCCGTGAGTCTGGCCTGTTTAGATGGCAGACCATCGGAGATGGGTCCGAGATGGGTGTCCTTGCTCCTGTCCAGTTCCATGTCGGGTCACATGTGGGAGGAAGATAGATAGATAGATAGAGAGAGAGAGAGAGAGAGAGAGAGAGAGAGAGAGATGGTGGTGGTGGTGGTGGTGGGGTGGGGGGGTAAAGGGCTTTGTCGCAAGTTCAAATAGAAAGTATTCTTGCCACATCCATATTTTAGAAGCCATTGCTGTTTCAAAGATCCCAAAGGCTTAAAATCACAGCGAAATCATTTTTAAAAGGACCAGATTAAAGAACACGCTGTACCAGAATGCACAGCAGTCCCGCGGCTCGGTTTCCTCGGGTGGCATTAATTATCTTTTGTTGCAGCAAATTGTCTGCCTTGTAAATTGAGCCGAGTGTGCGTCTTCAAGCAGATTCAATGTTTTAATATGTGCATAATGGAATTTCTATAACGTCCGCGTCCTATAGATCTATTATTCCACCTCCAACAATGTGCCTGCCGTTCAGACCGTGTGCTGTGGCGGCTTGTTTGTCGTCTGGCAACCGCAGCCCCTGTCGGTTCGACAGAGGGAACACCACTTAACTGTTTTCTAGGGTACAAACTACCTTTGTTGAATTCACTCGAAAGCATGCATGGCTGTTTCTAGAGCTACAGACAACAGATAGCGCCCAGACCCTTTCTTTTCCGGCTCCGGAAGGCATATGCGAGGCAAGGTGTTGCCTGGTTTTTATGTTTACCTTTCGGTAAGTGGTCCCTCGCAGCATTCTCATTAGACAAGCCTTTCGGAGGATGCTGGCCTGACTCACGCCCCTGTCTCCTCTGCTCTTCCCCAAGCCAGTCCTTCCCCCTCACTCCCCTCCACCACGTCCTCTGCAGCGCATCTCAGCACAGACAGAGCCTAGGTTGGAGGTGGGGCGGGGGGAACGCAGAGCTTGCCACTGAGTCAGATTCATCTACGACTCCAGCTCAGCATTTACTGAAACTTCCTCCTTCTCCAACTGCTTAAGGATACAAACTAATTAATCCTCACAGTCTCATAAAACCCTTGTTAGAAGGTGATCATTATTGCCTCCACCCCACCCCTCTCCATTTCCTATTATCAGACACCTCGTTGCCACTGCAGTCTGACAGCCAGAGTCAGAACTGAAAATTCCCTTCTGGTTCTCAGTTCTTTCCCCAAATGAACCATGTAACCCTCTCCCCACTCTCCCACCCTTGTGTTCTCAGTAGGGGAGATTGACGGCCACTGGACCCGTGAATTCAAACTTGTGTGTGTGTGTGTGTGTGTGTGTGTGTGTGTGTGTGTGTGTTTTGCACATTCTGTCTTACAATCCGGAGACTCAGTGACAAGAGAGACGCAGCAGAGACCCTTTCTGCACATCACCTCCCCCATACGCCCTCGAGATCATCCTTGTGAACAGTATTTCTCCCTAGCCGACCAACTGGGTGATGCCAGTCAGTCCCGACCAAATTTGAATTGATGACTCAACTAAAGAATTAAAATTAGCAAGGCAAGAAAATTCCAAATGAGGTGAGAAAGCTGTAGAAATAGTTCCAGATCCCCTAGTACTGAGCCATTCAGTATCGTTTCTGATGACAGGGACAGAGAGCTGGGAACATTCCGTGTGGGTGTGAGTCTTTTTCATATATGGAGAGCTGGGTTAAGTGTTTTTTTTTTTATAAGAAAAATAATGCATGAATCAGAAGCAGTGACTTTGATTTAACCCCTTGCAGGCTGCAGCTGTAAAGACAGCAAAACAGCACTACCTCTCAGATTTCCTAGAACATTCCTAGGCTCCGCACAGTTAAGCAATAGTGGGAAGCCTACCCTATCCAGCCCAAGCGTTACAGAAACGAATAAAGTACAAACGGTGGCATGTTTGAGCAGAGGCAATGTTGCTAAATTCAGTACCTGCAGAGAACCAACCAACCAGTTGTTGGAAGGCACCTTGTGGTCCTGCCTCGCTACAAGGAGACAGACTGCAGAATCCCCTTCCCAACCTGGCAAGCCAAGCCTTCCTCGAGTGCTTGTGGCACCCGGAAACTTGCTGTACTTTGCAGAAGTGACATCAAATAATTCTAGAAGATACGCCAGGAAGCCCACACGACCTCTTTTGCCTTTTTATGCTTCTGGATTTGGCAGCTCCTAGAGATTCTAGAATGGTGAGGAAGGAGACCGGGGCCATCTTATTAATATGTGCACACCCCGGATTTGCGTAGTACCTCCACTGCGGTTTCCTCGAAAGTGAAAACAAGTCAATCCACCGATCAGATCGATGCGTGTTATTTATCTTCATCTTCTCAGTCAATCGCGTTTATAGATCCCGAGGACTGGAAAGTGGAGACAGTTCGCTTCTGCACTGGCCCTCTACCTGTGAATACGCAAAGACTCGCCGCCTCTTTGCACAGATTTCCTGCAGAAACACTGGGAGTTCCCATTTCTACTGCCATTACTCATCTTGATTCTTTCCAAATTTTCGTAAACACATAAAATATAACAGCCCAGAAGGCAAAGATAACATTGTAGAATCTCCTACAGCCCCCACCCCCGTCTCAGCTAAGAGTTAAGGATGATAGTCCTTCAAAGAATTTGAAACAAGAATCTCTGCTTGGGGGAGGGGTCAGGGTCTGTGTCATTTGCCCCCACTGCAGGGCCTGTCACAGGCAGCACGCACAGGGAATCAGAGCCCCTCACAAGATGAATAAAAACACACCCCGATTTGATGGAACTGATCTGTGACTGCTGAACTATTCCTCTATAAGGAAATTTAAAATGACGGAGAATATGGGGGGGGGGGGCGTTATCTGTTGGAATGCACTATGAAGCTAGAAAAAGGAGAGCAGGGAAATAGTTGTGAGTTCAAAAAGCTTTTTGACATCTGCTGTTTTTTTTTCTTCTCTCAAAGATAGTGCAGAAAATGTGGCATTTCTTTCCATCTGATTCTAATCTGCACAAAGCCCCAGCACTGGGTCCAGCACACAGTAGGCCCACTGCAGGTAGGCGCTGGAGAAATGAGTGTGGAGTTGTGCAATATCTGGGACTGCACAAGCACCTGCACTTTTTCCTTCATATTTTCATATGTTAAGCACCTGCCCCCCCTACCTGCCCCCTTCCCCCCATTGGGGATGGAGGGACTTTTATTCTAAACAAAGGCTTGGTAGATCAAGGAGTGGTGTGTGTGTGTGTGTGTGTCTGTGCAGTGGCCTCAGAAGGGTACAGGATTACAGGATCCCCTGCCTGCCTGGGGTCCTGAGGAAGGGGTAGAGACCGGGCTGTGGCCGGACCTCCGCCACTCTCTTCCTGCCCAGCCCGCCTGTTGTGTGGGTATCAAGAGAGTGGAGAAATATTAGAGCGGGCCAGCTGCCGGAGCCGGGCGGGGTCTAGGGAGAGGTCAAGGTCGGCGGAGAGGCGGCTATTGATCTGGCTTGGAACGCGAGACAGGGAGCGCAGCAAGACTAAAGGGGGAGCTGTGAGACCAGACATTAACAGCTTTCAGCGCTAATGATGCCCGTGCCAGACGGGCAGAGGGAAAAAAAGGAGACTGGAGCGGCAGCTGGGATTGCTCGCTGCCTGCACCCGGCCGCCTCTCCTCTCGGGAGAGGAGGAGAAGGAGGAGGAGGGCAAAGGGGCCAGCGCCTCCACTCCCTGGCCACGGCGAGGTGGAGC